ATCGCAAGTACAGTATGTATTCATCTCTAACATGCATTGCTCTGTAGACGCGCTCAGTAGAATGTTTGGTAGAAGAACAAATGAGAGCACAGTGAGCTATCACTATCAGGCAATCAACAGCTTGGGGGAGCCAAGACCACTGACGCAAGTGAAGGAAGGGGAAATCATACGACCATAGAAGGGGAAATGGATCGGAGAAAGCTCTAATAAAAGAATGTAACAATGACTGAAACAGTGAACTGAACGGAATGGACATGACGTAATCAATCCTGAAGATTGGACGATGAACAACTCACACGAGGAGGTGCTTGAAGATTGCCAGAATAAGACATGCGACTACTTGAAAACGACAATGCAATCTCAAATGCCAATTCACCCCATGAATTTGATGGTGAAGAAATGAATGTAATATTGCTTTATACTCGATATCAATGTGCACAAAACACGGAATGGGAGCAAATGGCAAATGCAGAACTTAAGATATAATACTAGAAAAAACGTCATTTTAGAGAAACAATTGATAGCACCAACTGCATCGACTTGGATGCACTCTCAAGATATTGCTACCTACTCTAGCCAAAGATCCTTCGAAAGATCTGACACCACCCACTTCGTGAGGTTGGGCACACTCTCTCAATGAGGAAATATCCGGACGATGGACAGATTACCCTTCAGAAAACCAAAATCAAAAACCTCGAGCCATCGATCAAAATCAAACTTGGACCCATCACCAACCAATCATTCAATAACTTTCAGAATGAGCGAGTCAAATGACGTAGTGATGACAACATCACAGACTTCAGAATCGGACCCGTTAATGATCCTACCATCCAATGTAGTCCAAGAAGGAGACCACGTAATTCTGGTATTTGGAGATGGCCGACAATTGTTTGCACAGTGCCTCAAGAAACTCCGAGGCAAGGCCCCACCCGTCAAGATCAATAAGCGGACATACCCTACTTTTAATCTTGTTGGTTTACCATACGGAACAGTCGTGGAAGTGGGTTCGTCCAAACTGCATCCCTTGCCGGAAGGAGAAGACGTCATTCCGAAATATCCCGACACGAACAAAAAGGGAGACGATTCCAATGAGGGCAATCTGGAAGATGCCGAAGCCACAGCTGCCGACAATACATTTCCTTCCATTGAACAGGCAAATGATAATCGCGACTTGGTAGACAACAATACTTCGCAACAATTGCAGCAAAGGCAGGTCGAAAAAATGAGACGAACTGGAATGGAAGGAGCCACGATTGTGGACACGCTCATTGAAAACTCTGCCTCCTTTCAAAACAAGACGGAATTCAGCAAGGCCAAGTATGTGGCTAGGAAACAGTTAAAGTACCAACAGCGGTGTCGAATTGTAAGATGCACTCCCTCCTCTTTGTGCGAGGCAATGTTTTTGAAGGAACCACGAAAAATGCTGAACCTGAGAGAAGATACACTGGGACAAATATTGAGCTATTCCAATGTGTGCGCCGGAAGCCACGTGCTAGTCATGGACAATTGTATGGGCATTGTCACGGGTGCGTTAGCTCAGCGAATGGGAGGATATGGAAAGGTATTTTCTATTTACCCAGGTCAGCAACCACCCTATGTGGACATGATTGCTCGATTTAATCTTAACTTTGCTGAGAACAGTTCCATCAAATGGGTCCACGTAGAGGACGTATTCGGTACCCCTCAAGGCGAAACGCCGACATCTGCAGAAACTGAGGTGGATGAAGAAAAAGCAGATCGGGAATTGCTGGAGTGGCCATGCCCCTTGCAAGATCACACGCGGGCCCACTTGGAAAAGATGGAGTCTGAAAAGGAAAAACGAGACTTTCTGGCCAGGCGATGTGCTCGGTTTACCCGAAAACTCACACGGGGTACACCCGGAGAAGCAAAGGAAATGTTGAATGCACGCAAGTGCGACTCCGTCGTTATTGCTACAAAACATGACCCTACCCAATCCCTGATAGAACTTCTCCCTTACTTGGCGCCGTCTTCTCCATTTGTTGTTTTTTGTGAATACATTGAACCCTTGGCGGAATGCTTTCGCGAACTGCAAGAGCAAAGGCTTGCAATTAACCTTCGTTTGAGCGACACTTGGATGCGAGAGTATCAAGTGCTTCCTGGTCGAACACATCCCAGTATGAACATGAGTCAGAGTGGAGGTTTCGTACTTACCGGAATCAAACTTTGTCCAGTGACTGGTATCAATGATTTAGATGAAGAAATCATGAAAGAAATCAAGGAGAAGATGGGAGGACGGCGAGGGAAGAAGAGCAGCAACAAGAAGAAAGGGGGAAAGCGAGGTCGAAATGATGCAGGAGGAGATGGGGAACGGGGTCAAAAGTCCAGACGCGTGGAAGGAAAATAACATACTTGAATATAAAGAAAAAGCTACTAGGTTATAATCAAGCTTGACATATATAATACAGCTACTTTGGACATTAGATGACAAGATTTTCTCAATTCTGTGAAACTTTATTATGCATTCGCTTGACAGCGTTCTGGACGTCGGAAACTGTCACGTAAGTGCTATTGTCAAAGAAGGCATACAATTCGGTATCTCCATTGGCACACCCGTAGACCCATCCCAGTGCCATGCAGGTACACAATTCCACATACTTTGATGATGATGAAGTAGCAGCTGCCGAGGAATCATCATCATTCTTTCTAGAGAATTTGGTGGCAATGTCATTCATCATGTCGTCAAAGGCAAGCAAGACATCCAAATGCAAATGGGATGCCAAACGATGGCGGCAATCCAATCCAAGGACTGCCCACTCCAGACTTTGCGAGATGGCTTTCTTATCGCCCTGCGATGGTACAGCAATTTTTGGTGGCATGAAACCAAATCTCTTTCGGGGGCTGGCCCCATTACCCTGCGGCTTCTTGGATGACGGGCTGCTAGATACGGCTTTTCGATCAGTAAAGAGCGTCAATTCGTGCTGTTTGCGGTCAATCAGAATAAAGTCCACTCCAGGTTCCCCCAGATTGGGCTTTTGTCGATCCTTGTAAGGTGATGGTGATGATGATGATATCATAGCTTGGGACGTTGTCATTACCGCCGCATCCATCTTGTTGCGGACGCTCACCAACACGTTGGAAACCATGTCTCGTCCAGCATCTGACTGCAAGTCCAAGTCTCCTTCATCATGGAGGAATATGAGAAAACTGAAGTCTCCAATCGTGTAACAAAGAACGCGAGCATTCTTGCTTGTCTGTTGTTGCTCTGCTGCTTTTGATTTGCCTCCGTTTATAAAAAGATTCAATCTGGGAGCCCATGCGATTTGTTGTTCGCTTTCAATGGCAATACTAGATTGGTTCGCTTCGTCCTCGGTCCCACCACCGCTCATCATGAATGATGGAGGAGGCACCAAGAACGATCCGCCGCTTAGACTCATACTTTGCTGCGCGGCAATGGAAGGTTGTTCATGCTGTGCTGCCTGGTCTTTGTAGGCAAGAGACGAGGCAATATTTCCTAATCGAAGAGGGGAAGTCACGCTTTTATTTCCCGGGCCATGCGCAATCTTCTGTTGGAGCAACTTGATTCGGTACGACGCCATGTATCCCATGATGGTCGTGACTGTTTCGGCAGTGATGCCGCATGTCGAAAAGTGAGACTCACCAGCAGACCCATTTCCAAAAAAATCATATTGGATCAAGTTACCCAAGTAAAAGGTCGAAATCCCAAATAGCAATGGTTGATGGGCCTCGTGCACCAAAATGTGTTGAAGGTCTGTCGTTAGTTTGGGCACTAGTTCGTTGGACAACCGAGACGGCGACGATTGCAACGTATGAAGGCCAGAGTCTTGAGCAATGGGTACTGGAACAACGCAATCAACTAGACAACGCAGTCCTCCACCTTGGCGACTCGTCACCAAGGAGAGATTGTCAAGATATTCATTGTAATGGGATGCCAAATCCTGTCGGATGGATTCATTCGGCAGTTGTTGCTGTAGATGCTCAAGTTCACAGCCCAACTGGTCACTTTCGTGTTGCAATCTTTCATGCTCGTCGTCTGCCGCATCCGTGGATAGTCGCGATTGCTTGGTTTTGAGTTTCCGGATATCTTTTCGCAGCGAGTACAATTGGTCCAAACCAGGATAAATGCACTTGTTGTTGTTGTTGTTGTTGTTGGAAATATCATCATCATGACACCTCTTCTGCTGCTTCAATCGATGCAGAACACCTCCTCCGTGAAACATTTCAAACAAGGAGTGACATTTTTCGATGGATTGGCGCACCGCCAGTGGATTTCCGCCCCCTCGTCGCATCTGAATTACGGCCAAAAGTTCGCCTTCGAGTGGGACAAAGATGAGGGTGGACTTTCCCAGATAGACTGACTTCGTCGTTTCGTCTTTTTTCAACGAAGATGGCAATGTGTAGAGTCCTACACAGAGGCCGAGAAATTGCACGGCTTGCCTATTCCAGCCATTATTATTACTATTCTTATTCTTGGGATCTTCTGCAGCTCCTGGTGGTGACACGTACAAGAATATCTGCTCCGCAATCTCTTCAATTTCGGCATTTTCACTCAATGATTTTCCATTCAGACACTTTTCCGGTAAAGAAGGATGGCATATTAGTATTCTTTCGATAGGGGAAGATGTTTGACTCTCGTGGATCTTGGACATGCTCCACCATCTCTGTGAAACTGAGGTGCTGGGTTTGTTGCCATTGTAGTCGACCGAGTCAAAATCAGTCAACAGACAACCATGCCATCCGTGACTGACACGTGGAACAAAGTTGAAACGGGAAAAACAAAGACGAACGAACACTTTTCACTCCTGTTCTTATCATTTTCAAACGAAGTCTACCTTTGTTTGCAGAGTCTACAGACAACAACAATAATAACAACAACAAATAAAGTACAATGTCGTTAGCAACAAGTGGAGGAATGGGCGCAATGGGCGGTGCCGGAGCCGGTGGTGGCCTCGCCATGGCTCATGGAGGCGCCATGGCCCAACCCATGCAAGGTGCTCCTCCTCCTGGAGGAGCCAGCATTCCAATGGGAATGGCCCCACCTTCAACGTCGGCAGCTGCTTTGGGTGCCGATCTAGTGGACAAGCAGCAACAGATTTCACTGAAACAAGTTCGAGATTTATCACATTTGCCATTGGTCGCCATTGATTTGTATTCCAGTCAACCACATGTCGCTTCCTTTCCGCCCAAAAACAAGGATCCAGCAGCTGTTCCCGGAGCGCCTAGCCTGATTGGGAAAATGAAGGACAAAGTCTTGCTGCAATCTTCGGAAAGCTCCCACAAAACCTTTCGAAAGTGGCTTTCCAAATCCAAAGGATACAGTGATTTGCAAGCAGATGTCTTTGCCAAGGCGGACGACAAATCGGCAGTGGCCATTGAAAGTCCCCAAAAATGGTTGGGATACCGTCGATTGGACGACGCTCCGGAATGTTTGCGTTCTCAGGTCAACCTAGATAAGGATTCCGAACCTTCTGCCATTGCCGAAGAAGGCACGGTAGGTGTCGGCGTCTCCATGGCCAATGGAACCTTGGACGGATCCGTACCGCAGGGAGATGATTTTGACCGAGTCGTAGCCAAGGTGCGATTGCACGCCAGCAAAAAGGCCTTGACGGTATTGCCGGAAGAGGCTGCCCAATTGGTCTTAAACCAAGCCCAACATCACGTCGCGAAACAGCACAAGGTGGAAGACGAAGATGAAATTATCAACTTTCCATGTTGTGTGGCTGTTCCAGCACCCTACTGTACGGATTCGGCCATGGAAGCTATGCTCGATGCCACTAATGGAACTGGAGTCTTGTTGCAACGAAGTGTATGTGCTCTAGCTGGGGCCCTATTGCCCAGTGCAGAAGAAGGCAAACCAAATTTGTTGCTGGAACACATTTTGAAGGTTCTACAAGCATTGCAAAAGGAGTTCCAAAAACAACAGTTGAAAAATCCGAATGCTCGATTCGAAGAAGAACAAGTGGTGCTGTTGGCGGGTACTACCAAGGATACTGTGGAGTGTACCGCCATTCAAATATCGACTCCCCAACGAGATCAAGAATTTTGCATTTTTGGACATTTCAAGGTCTTGTGCAATGTTTCGTATCAACATGAAAAGCCAGAATCCATCATTACCAAGTGTATTAGTGAGCTCTTTGATGTTATGGATGCAGTTGCTCCCGAAGTGGATGGTCCCATTGCAATGGTCACCTATGGAACTTCGGAGGAACAAAAGGCGGTTGCCGACAAGTGGGAAAAAGCTAAAAAGAGTCTAGAAGATTGGGAAGATGTTCCACAGTTCTACTCCAAACCCGACAGTGTCGCCATGGGAACCTCCGTCTTGGGGGCCGTCAGTCATGGACGCCTCAAGACCATTGTCCAAGTGGAGGGCAAAAAGCCAAAGGCCGCCTTGGCCTTGAACGTGCAAAATGTTGCACCCGTGGCCGTTGGCATTCAAATGAACTATCATGGTGGAGCCAAGAATAAGTGGCAGCCAGTCAAGACTATCTTTGACTTTGATCGCCGAGTGCCAGCAGGACCCTATGACGTGGACATTAGCGCTGCCACGGGAGCTGTGTACCAAGAACAGGGTTCCGACTTGTCGGACGAAGCCCTCTTCAAGGCCACTACGGAAATGGAAGCTTCCAAATACATTCCCAAACGAGAGATTGCTGCTTTGGATCTTCGAGTACAAGTGGTCCAAAAATGGACACGAGATGGAGTATGGAAAAAGATTGGAGATGTCCAGAGTCCACTAGTCATGACGGACAAGGATGGCAAGAAGACTGCCTGTGAGCGCATCAAGTTGGAACTTAGTCTTAGTTCCGTTGGCTTGATCACCCACTCGTTGGTAGGAGAACGCGAAACCGTAGTCCAAGCCACAAAGTCGGCGCGGAATTCCAAAATTCGATACTACGGGTCCATCATTTTGGCCATTGCCTTTTTTGGAGGCTTTTTGGTCAAGAGTTATTGGGAAGAACGAGTCTTTGAACGGGATACTCGTCGATTATTGGCCTATTACAAGCACGTTGTTCCAGGAAGCATGTCGGATGGTGATTTGTACAATGCTAGATACGTAGTATACAAGTATCGTAACAAGAAGGAGAAGCTGTGGAAGAATTTGGAAAAGAAGTATGGGGAACCTTGTTTGCAAGAGTGGGAATGGCCCGAAGAGGAAGAAACTCCTGCGGAGGAAGAGGAAATGAATCTAGATGAGGGTGACGAAAAGAAAGAAGAAGAAGCAACGGGAGAGCAACAAGGAAAAGGAGAACAAGAATCCACCGAAGAACCGGACCTATAAATTTGTAACATTGCGTTGAATCATAGGCTTTTAATGTGGAAGTACTGTAGTTTACTATTACCGGTTTGGCAGATCTGGTAATCGTACAAATATGCTTTGGAAGCAGGTTGAAAAATGATGCGAAGCCACATTTCTTACTGATTTGCGTTCCGAATTGAATGCGAATCCTCATGCCACAGTGGTACCGGTATGGATACGAATTTTAAAAAAAGACTGCCAAACAAGATCATGAAAGCCAATTCACAGCCTTGTAACTGTGCAAAGTACAATAAGAATCATAACAAGCAAGTTTGTTGTTCAGGCCTCAGTTTATTCTTTTGCTACGAGAGTACCGTGGCGTGAAGTTCACAACCTCACAATGATCATTCAGTGTAGGAATGCGGGGTAATCACGAAAACAAAACTCTTTCGCCTCATAGGTTGGATAAAGCAAAAATTAAAAACTATTTCTACATGCATTGTTGTTTAAGGCTAGCTGCATATGTATAACGTGTCTATCATCCAGCAAAAGCTCCAAATTAAGAACGAGAGGATTGTATAGTAGCTCACTCGCTCGATCGATCCATCATCCAATTTTAAATTGGAACACTGGTCCATCCCACCGGTGCATGCGAATTTTGAAGGGTTTGAAACACGTGGTTGGCTTGATTCTCGTCCTTTATTATCGGTGGATGCAACATTCTCTGCTCGGGTATCGAGACGCTGGCAGGTTCACTTGCGCATCTCTTGTGGTGGTTCAACTTGCCAGAGTACATGCCAGCATCCGGTGGGGTCAGCGAAGTATACCATCCCCATTGTGGACTGAATTCTCCAGTCGGCGACGAATCTTTCCCCCTCGATCTGGATGGCATTACAAGACTAGCTTGATTCATTTTGGGAATATATCGCTTCTTCGTGTCCGAGACCAGTGCATTGTTCCGTCTGGATGTGGATCTCTTCATGGCAGACTTGATAACTGGAGCTTTCGTCGTGGTAGCATTATCATACGGACTGATAGGATCATGCTTGACACTCTGTTCATTCCCCATTTGCAACACAAATAATATTATCAAGACACATATAAAAAAAAGAGGCGAAGATTTGTGAGCATACATACTGCAGGTGTCACAAAAATTTCATGGCCATGAACCAAAACGAATTCCAGCATCACTCAGGACATGACGCGCAGCCTATGAATGACATCTTATATTCCACAATATACATTCCGTATAAAAGTATATACATTTGTGACTGGGAGCAAGCCGCGCGCGGATGGAAGGCCAAAAAAATAAACGAATTTTGGTTTCCCGCCCTTCCACGCGTTGACGATCTCTTGTGGGAGCTGATCGGGACTTGGCCATGGTGGCGAGGTTGGTTTTTGCAAGACGCCTTCCAGCAACCATTCGAGCTCCCAATATACACAAGAGATCAGCATCAAACAACAACAAACAACAAAGAAACAACCGGCAATCCACCAAAACCAAATGGCGCATCTCCGGCAAAAGAATCCAGGCAGAACACTCTCACGCCAACAAAAAGATACCTCCAAGACGAACAATGGAAAAAGAAGGGCTTACCTCGTCTAAATACTCCACGAGATTGAGGCCACTCTCATCCGACCAACTAGTTTGTCGAGTTCTCTTGTCAATGGGTGCTCCGACTAGATCACTCAATGATGTATGACTGGATCTACGACTCAGCAAATTGGATTTACCCTCGAATTGTGGTTTCGGAATGCCCATGGACAAATCGTCGTCCGAGACTACCCGAGAAGGACTGCCAACCGTTTGATCTTGTGGTTTTGTCCCTGATGGATATCGCTCGCAATTTGTGGTATCGTCCAATTTGGTTTCAGTATTGTTGTCTTTATGTTGTCCCAGAACACCTTCCAAGATGCGAAGGGGAACTCGTACAAAGGCGGAAAACAAATTGAAATCGTCAATACGGTCTGCTTCTAACTGTTGTTCAAAAGCCATTTTATTGTGTGCGGTAGATTGTGTGTGTACACTATTATATTTGTGTCTATGGCCACGACCAAAGGAAAGAAGTGATGGGAGCTGAAGTTGGGGTGTCAAGAGGAAAGAAGAATTATTAATACAGCAATGCTGACGGTGTTATAATACTTGTCCGCAAGTGTGTATGGAACAATGGTTTGTGTCTTTTTGTGTGGGGGGCAGCCAATCACATCGGTGAAACCTGGGGGTATTTCGCATTCTGGTAGGACTTTACGGCAAAGTTTACGTAGAGAGTGGCTTGCTCCTTGAAGAGAATCCACGCACGTGAATCAATCAATCATCCTCCAAATGAATTCTACAGGGGGCGGACCATTGTAATAATATGTGCTTTGGTTCTTCCCCCGAATAGTCATGCGGTACATTCTCTTGTGATCTTGACGTCACAAGAGAATGTCAAAATGCAAACTTCATGTCTTCGTTTGGGACTTTTGAAGTTTCACGATCCTTTCGCTTTGTTGATGCCTTCATCCCGAACGAAGTTTTGGGCATCGTTTCCTCTCACACTGTAGTATCCAAGCACAACTTTTTGATACAACCCACGATCTCAGCAAGATCATGGCGCCACTTCCGCAAGAAAAGTTGCTCTATGAGAATGATGATCTCGAGTTGGTCGATTCCTTCTCGAAAAAAGGTGTGTCGTCGAATCAATGAATGAATGAATTGGATGTTCTATAATGTTGTGGGGTCCTAAAAGATACTATATCTTTTGCTCACCATGATGTGAAACTCTCCTCTTTTTTTTTCCTACCAGGATATCGCACCAAACCCATCCTCTATGTCAATGGAGAAAAGGTCCCCGAGGATCTGGCAGCTAAAGCACGATCCAATCAAACACTCCTGTCCTTCCTCAGAGATGTCATGAAGTTGAGGGGCTCCAAGTTGGGATGTTCCGAAGGCGGTTGCGGAGCTTGCAGCGTCATGTAAGTCTAAGTCGCGATATTAAGAATATGTGTCGGTAATGATGCCAAGATGCGCTCACATTCATTCATTCATTCTATGTCAATACTACAGGATTTCCAAAAAGGATCCCAAAAGCAACCAAGTCAAGCATTTGGCAGTCAATGCCTGTCTCATGCCCGCCTTGGCAGCTGATGGATGTCATGTCACGACCGTGGAAGGAATTGGCACTGTCAAGGGGGGGTTGCATCCCGTCCAAAAGGCCATGACGGATCTCCATGGATCCCAATGTGGATTTTGCACCCCCGGGATTATTGTTGCCATTTACTCCTTGTTTGCCAGCAATCCATCCGCAAAGTACATTGAAGAACATTTGGATGGTAACTTGTGTCGCTGCACTGGTTATCGTCCCATTTGGGATGCCGCACGATCCTTGTGCGACGATGCCGAAGACTTGGTCAAGGGTCCCTGTGGCACGGCCTGTCGCGAGTGTCCCGAACGACACGATTGCGAACAAGATTGCAATGTCGAGGATAAAAAAGCAGCAGAGGAAAAGTCTGTGTGCTCTTCATCGGTCGACAAGTTGCCCCTGAAGAAGGAATTCGAAGAGGGCAAGAGCAATTGGGTGGATCAGCCGAATGACATGTTTCCAAAGGATCTTATGGATGAGAATTCGGTAACTTCCATTGCTTTGTCCAAGCCATTAATGATTGTGGATCAAGTAGAATATCAAGGATCGGGAACTTGGTTCAAGCCAACTACTTTGGAACAATTGCTAAGTCTACTCAAGGAATTTGGAGAAGATGGACAAGGAGGATACAAGCTGGTCGTTGGAAACACTGAAGTTGGAATTGGTACGCATATCATATCATCATGATGATTGGATTGGATTGGATTGGATTGGATTGGATTGGATCGTATTCTCACATTATCATTTCTGTCTCTTTCTAGAAACTCGATTCAAGCATTCGATTTACCCACGATTGATCTCTCCTGCCGAGACTGTGGAGTCCATCTTTGATTTCACCGTCACTCCCGAAACAGTGATGATTGGAGGCTGCACACCGCTCAGTCATGTCCAGCACGAAGCGGAAGCAGCGGCCAAAGATCCAAAGTACACCCGCACAACCATGCCCATGCACGACATGCTTCGATGGTTTGCTTCGACCCAAATTCGCAACGTTGCCTGTTTGGGAGGAAACTTGGTCACCGCAAGTCCCATTTCCGACATGAACCCATTGTTGGCCAGTTTCGGTGCTTCCCTGGTCCTTTCCAAGTTGTCGGGTAGTGGTGTTTCGAGACGCAAGGTTCCAGTTCCAGAGTTCTTTTTGAGTTACCGCAAGGTCAACATTGAGCCAGGAGAGATTGTGGAGAGTGTTGAGGTACCAGTCTTGAACAAGTACTTTGACTACGTCAAGCCATTCAAGCAAGCAAGACGAAGGGAAGACGATATCAGTATCGTTACCTCTGGAATGCACATTCGTGTGGTTCCGAAGGATGGTGCCTTTGTCATTGAGCATGCTTCCTTGGCGTTTGGAGGAATGGCGCCTACGACTGTCTTGGCCAAGGAAACCGCCAAGGCCTTGGTTGGATCGGAATTCAGCCGCAGTACCTTTGACAAGGCCCAAGAAGTTTTGATGAAGGAATTCAATTTACCAGAAGGAGTACCAGGAGGCCAAGCTGCTTACCGTATTACTCTGGCGGCATCCTTTTTGCAGAAGATGTATTTTGCGGTTGCTGTTGACCTCAAGGCTGACGCGGAAGCCATTGCCGCTGATGCTACGGACGCGGCTAAATTTCCATCTCCTCTCCCAACTGTTGTGGCGCTGGATGAAGAGGAAATTTCTGGTTTGGATAGTTTTCTCAGCGCTCCCAAGCCTACTTTGGTCGGAGTCCAAAAGTACCCCGCACCAAAGGTTGCCGATGGTCTGGAAAAGGAAATTCTTCCAGCTGCCAGTGTTGCAGGCAAGGATAGCGCATCGGCTGTTGGAAAGCCATCTGTTCACCAGTCGGGTTCCCTTCATTGCACTGGAGAGGCTCTATACTGTGATGATATTCCAGAACCTGCTGGCACTCTGCATGGAGCATTGATTCTGTCGACCGCTTGTGGATGCGTGTTTGAAAAGTTGGACAAGGAAGCAGCCCTTGCCATTCCTGGTGTCGTTGGTCTTTTCACAGCCGAAGACATTGATGTGTTGGGAGGAAAGAATCTATGGGGTCCAATCGCAAAGGATGAACATATTTTCCATCCAGCTGGAGAAAAGATTCGAACTGTCGGCCAAGTACTTGGAGTGGTAGTTGGTGAGTCACTCGAATGCGCTGAAATGGGAGCCCGAGCAGCGAAAGTGTCATACGGTCCTGTTGAAGACAAGATCATCATGACAATTGAAGAAGCAATTTCTGCCGGTAGCTACTTCGAATCCACACGTCATTCCCTCACAAGAGGAGACGTCTCAGTAATTGATGGTTTGAAAGACGCAAAGGACTTTGAAGGCACGCCTAAGGTCGGAGACATTGTAAAGATTTCTGGATCCTATAGTACGGGAGCGCAAGAGCACTTTTACTTGGAGACGAACTCTACCTTGGCCGTTCCTTCGGAAAGTGACACGAACCTTACTATCTATGCCTCGACCCAAGCCGCCACAAAGACGCAAACGTATTGCGCGTCATCCACTGGCACGCCAGCATCAAAGGTAGTGTGTAAAGTCAAACGTCTTGGAGGTGGGTTTGGAGGTAAAGAAACCCGCAGGTACGTTGTGTAATTGATCTCTTTATACTTGTGTGGCACAACAAAATCTCATGCCCGTTGCAGTGTGTTCATTTCTTGCGCGGCCGCAGTTGCAGCAAAGAGGACTGGTCGAGCTGTGCGATTGACCCTACCAAGAAATCAGGATATGCTCATCAGTGGCCATCGGCACGCATTTGTTTCGAAGTACAGTGCCAGCGCCGAAATCACAGAGGAAGGTCCCAAGCTACTAGCCATGGACATTCACCTTTACAACAATGGTGGATATTCACTCGATTTATCTGGCCCTGTTTCGGATCGTGCCGTATTCCACTCGGATAACGTGTACTTCTTTCCAAACTTTCGCGTGGAAGGTGTGGCCTGCAAAACACACCAGGCATCGCATACTGCATACCGTGGATTTGGAGGTCCCCAGGGGATGGCCCCTGCAGAGCATGTAATGGAGCATCTCGCACAAGTTTGCAACCTCGACGTTGGGCTAGTCCGAAGGCTGAACATGTACAAGGAAGGCCAGGCAACCCATTTTGGACAAATTTTGGGAGAGAAGCAAAGTGGCAAATGGAACGTGCCTAGAATGTGGGACAAACTCTGGGCCGAATTGGATGTTGAAAAGCGCCAGAATGAGATTGCGGAGTTCAACAAGAAGAACAAGTATCTAAAACGAGGTGCGGCTCTCATTCCAACCAAATTTGGAGTCGCGTTCACCGCCAAGTACATGAATCAAGGAGGAGCATTGGTTCATTTGTACACTGATGGGACCGTTTTGGTGTCCCATGGTGGTACTGAAATGGGCCAAGGATTGCATACCAAGGTGTGCCAAGTGGCAGCGCAAGCATTTGGCATTCCTATTGAAATGGTCTATGTCAACGAAACGGCCACCGATAAGGTTGCCAACACCATCCCCACTGCAGCAAGTATGTCCACAGACCTGTATGGCATGTGTACCTTGGATGCCTGTCGACAGATTGTCAAGCGTCTTGAACCATACCGAGAAAAGTTGGGACCTGAGGCAAGTCTTGCCTCGATCGCATCGGCAGCTCACATGAATCGTGTTGACATGTCCGCGCATGGTTTCTTTGCTCCCGATGATTCCCGTGTAGGCTTTGATTTCACTGTTGAAAAGCCAGCAGATTATCCAGCTGACAAGCCTGAGAACTCTTGGAAGGGAAATCCATTCAACTACTTCACCCAAGGAGTTGCCTACACCGAAGTCGAAGTTGATTTCTTGACTGGAAACCATCGAACTCTGATTTCCGAGGTCTTGGTGGACGTCGGATCGAGTGTGAATCCTGCAATCGACATTGGTCAAATCGAAGGAGCCTTTACTCAAGGAATGGGTTGGAGTACGATTGAAGAGGTGGTCTATGCCGATGAAGATCACAAATGGGTGCGTCCTTATGGAACCATGTTCACTACTGGACCAGGCACATACAAGATTCCAGCATTCAACGACCAACCCGAGATCTTTAACGTTTCACTAATGGAGGACGTCGACAACCCATTTGCTGTACACAGCAGTAAGGCTGTTGGAGAGCCACCATTCTACCTTGGTGCCAGTGTTTTTTATGCAATCAAGGACGCTGTTCGACGGGCTCGTGCAACCCCAGGATACTTTGAGTTCCGCTTGCCTGCCACCAGCGAACGAATTCGCATGTCAGTGAATGATGAAATCTCCATGAAAGCAAAGAAGCAAGTGATTGGAGACGAACGAGATGCAGCTGAATACCAAGTTCAAGGCAGTTTTTAAATTTTGGTCTGTCCGCTGTCTGTCCGTTTTTCCCTTTTCGAACTTGAGAAGTTCCGACACATCACTTCCGGAACAATACATATCATTCTGTTTATACCTCAACACAAATCAATTACAGTAGTAACATGAATGAACCTTTATACCCTACAAATACGTTTCAACGGAGCCTCTTCCTTCTATCTGCCGCATGCTGCTTAGTCAGCATATCTTCCTTTACAAATCTGATACCACCACAACAGCAGAATAATGGGAAGGCGAAGGGATCATCCGCATTGGAAATGTCCTCTGAATTTGGGCAAGACGATCAAGCCGCCGAAGCCATTCGATCCCTATGCGACTTTCATGAAGGGCAATGGGAAGGGACTGCGACATCCTTTTCAATAACACCAGATGTTGCCGCTGGAATTGTCAAACGAGAAACTTCCCCAAAATTCAAAGTTGGGGTCAAGTTGGGATTAGACGAAAATCGACAGCTTTCCTTGACGGAAACCTTTGAATGGAATGACGACAATTTCTCTTCTAGATTGCTTCTTTTGAACGATTGCAATATGGATGTTGATTCTGTTGATGCTTCCTATTCATTGGATTCCTCATTGCCTGACTTTCCCGCAAGAATTGCAGGTACGGACAAGTTGATTCAATTTGGCATTGAACACTGCATAGCAGCTTCCAACGATCGCCGAACGAAGTGCTTTGCCTTTTATGGACTCGATCAAAGTTTGCAGCGAATTGTGGTAACTGATGAAAATCGAATAAAGGACTCGGCACCGCCTCCTCCTGCACCGAGCAAAGGAGCACCACCAAACGACCAACTCACGGCACGAGACTTGTTGGAAATGGAAAGCGACATTGATAGACTTGTGGAGAAGATAACCGGAAATATGGAAAACAAGCCATCATCGTCATCCCCAACGCCTGTTCCATCCTCGCCACTAGAGCAACTAGGGAACAGCATGTCATCGAAAGACGACGGCTCGAAACCCCTCGCTTCTCATGACATTTCCCTTTTGGAACTATCTTCGGGTGTCTGGCTAGGCGACGCCATAATTCGAGACCAACCAACAGTTCCCGAGTCACCAGGCGGCAGAGGCAGAGGATTTGGATCATCAGGAGCAACCCCAACATCGGACAGTACCAAAGCAGCCTTTGGGTCATGGGAAGTGGGCGTCCAGAAGATTGCTTGGAGATGGATGTGGAACTTTGGAGAGGAGATCCGACAAGTCGTTGACAATGGTAAAGCCATGGGAGCAAGCTTGGCCAAGACAATGACGAAGTCCTTGGGAGGAAATGTCTGTGTCAATGAGGGTCTCTCCCGACGAATCCCCAAAGATCAACGCATGGTATACATTGATTGGAGCGGAGACATGGTTGGGTTCCTTTCTGGCCCCGTTTCAATACAGGTTCCAAGGTACTTGAACTTCGATAAGGAGGCCACGAAGGATTTGAACAAGCCTTTCTTCACAGAGTTCTGTCTGTACCAAAGTGAAGACGACGCTCCTGTCGAGATTGGCGAATTGGATGAGGCAAAACTACCAGAAGTCTGCTGTTCCAAGCTTTCGCGTGTTTACAACTATGCTGGTCAGTTGAAGCAGGGTATTAGCTCATTCTATACGTTCAAGAGATTTGGAATGGAGGAAGACAATTAGAGCAAGAGTACGTATTTATACGTGTTGTCGACTGTAAAAAATTGAGTCCCGAGTATCAGTGAATGATTTCTGTAGAACAAATACTCGTAATTTCAAATTTGGTTCGTGCATATATATTATGCTTTGGATACGATGGTGATTTTCACAGTCGATATCTTTGATTTTATACTTCCAAAAGCAAGCTGACGATGTCTACTTTCTCCTTCAGATTTCTGCTACCAGCTACAAACGATCCTTATGCTTGGGGAACGATCTTGGCATCTTGTTCGACAGCTGCTATAGCGATTTACTATTACAACAGTTGTCAACATACTAAGAAGCAAAGTTCCGTCGACGATGAACTCGTCGTGAAGTTACTTTCTATTGAACAGGTTTTGGCAATGGGTGGCGGTGGGGACAATGCAATGTCAACCTTGACTTGGTTCAAAATGACAGACTCAGGGGACAACCTTGACAAAACCAAGCAGATACTACAAGATCGGTTCCACCAAATAATCAAAGCAAATCCTTGGATGATAGGAAGGATCTTGAAACGAAATGGCGAGCACTCCTTGGTGTATCCCAAACAGTTGTGGGACGATACAAAGGATGGCTCCATGAGCGAATACTTTGGGTGTCTTCATAATGATGATGGCAGCGTTGGTATTTCACCTGGCACGCCGTATGATCAACTAGGTTCGAGGCTGTCACATCTCATGTTAAAAAACGGTCCAAATGAAGCACTGTGTCGTGTAACGATTCTTCCCTCAAGGTCTGATAAGCGACAATATTTTGCGGTAGTGTTTACGATGTCTCATGTCATTGCAGATGGGGCGACGTTTTTCAAAATGAACAACATGTTGTTGAATGTCCAAGAAGACATTGTTTCATTGGATCCACAACGGATCATGAGCACAGAGCAACAGCAAATCCAAGTCATGGGTGGTGAACCAGAATACAAAATCCTACAATCGGGTGGATTCATTGCAAACATGGTCTTGGGTGTGTTCACAACCCTTTTGAAGCCAAGCAAAAAAGCATCCGCCAGGTTTTATCTTGTGAACCAGGATGGCATGAAAGACGAAAAAGAAAAGCACCAATACGACACCACAAGTACACCCAAAAAACAGTTTGTATCGACAAATGATGTCTTGTCTAGTTGGTTCTTTCAAAATTCAACTTGTAAACATGGGTTGATGGCACTAAACTGGCGTGGACGATTACCAGGACATACCGATATGCTCGCAGGGAACTATGAAAATGTCTTGTTCTATCGTCCTTGTGACTCGAAGACACCCGACTTGATACGAAAGTCGTTGACAGAAAAGAAGAATCAAGGGCAAGTACTGCAATATCGACGTCAGGTCACACACGATGAACCAATGCCTGGGTTTTGGGGTATGGCGTCAGGTTCGATTGCGTTGGCAACAAATTGGGCGTCTTTCTCGAAACTCTCTTCCATTCCCGGTTGGCAAGAGGAAATACAAATCCCACTCTACGATACATCCAAGCTGTTGCCATCGACATTGGCTATCATGCTGATCTTCCGTGCCGGACCTCACGGAACGGGTATAATGGTTGCCGGAAGCCCCGAAAAACTAGCCAATTTAGAGAACACAGTTCCCTTTTTGTCGAAAGAGCCTCTTTGAGGCAGGATTCTATTTTATGCTACTACCGTGAAGTCAGAAACGGACGAAAAACCGAGACTACTTCGTACACAGCTTCTAAGTAGTAGTAGGCAATCCACTGTCAACAAGGATATTTTTCCCAGATCTCTAGATCCAAATGGATCAACATTTTTTTATACCCTTATTGGGATCAGAAGTTTTGTGAATGCTTTGTTGGTATTGCAACAGAGACGTACCAGAAAAGGATTAGAGTAAATAACTACAGTAGGATACAGTACACAGTACATGTAAACGATGACTCGTTCGACTAGATCAGAATGGATTTGGATTATTGGATACGAGGGTATTGTAGATTTTCATTTTAATTTACTCGTGCCCTCAATAACCCAACAACTCAGAACCTGCACAGGATGATGGGATCCTATATTGAGGGACCCTCCGAACAATGGCTGACTCAATTTCCCACTATTCTCATTGTGACCTCTTCCATGGTGATTGATCGTAGCCTCCGAAAGGATTTGATCGAGGAACGGGTTCGATGCCAAATCTGGTTGTGGTTCTGTGTCATTCTTTCCCTTCGGTCGCATCCAAGCAGTCTACATGACAAAGATATCCAGCAGCATGGCAAAAAAGAAGATTTGATATTTGAAACTTGGATGCATTTGGTAATCGTATCAAATCTAGTATCCATCGGTGTTTTGGCAATCAGTGGTCCGCTGGAACGAATCAAGAAGAGTTACAACCGGAGTTCTTGGTGGTTTTCCTTTGCGGCTTGGACAGCCATGATGTCCTCGTCGTGTCTCTTTTCATCTCTAAGATATGCCGAAGGAGCACAAGAATCGATTGCCATGTTCTCCTTACAAGTTTACATACTTTCCTTGTGCATTCTTTGGATTATTCATTGGTACAAACGACGAAAAGAAAAGTTGGAGCAAGAAATGCGCAAAATTACCAACTATGGAGGCAGCGGTTCCAACACAAATCCATCATCATCCTTCATCATATCGCAAGATAAAGACGGATTTGATCGATCCAAGTGGTATACGTGGAAACCTTCCACCACCTTGCGGTGGATATCACAAGTGTTGGAATCATCATTTGACCATGACGACGTTGATCATGGAGTCTTGCAACAATTGGCATCACATCGAATCGATGGACCCTTGTTGGATACTCTATCCGTCTCTCAATTACTTCAACTGCAAGTTCCCTATGGACCCGCGTGCCATTTGGATCAGGCGATTCAGACTGAACTGGTACGACCCTTTCCCAAACCACGAGGATCGGAAGCCAATATGAGCGGCAGCAGTTGCAATGGTGCTTCTTTTGGTGGTACAACATCAGCACATCCAAACGACTTTTTGAGTGGATTTGATGAAGAGTACAATAGCGATCGACGAAGAAGTTTCGCTTCCACTGCCAAAAGCGATGGGACAAGTGGCTTGGCAGATCGCAACAGTTTTGCTTCGGGAGCAGAAATGTTGAATCTCGACCCCAACCAAGAAAATCACATCAACGATGTCATGAAGGAACGGTATGGGCTGGAATTGCCGCGTTTGCGAACAGAAGGAACGTCGGCCTCAGATCCAGCATCAGGTGCACCACCATCGCAAGCCAGCGCCGTGAGTGATGGTGAAGATCCCTTGCAGCGAGGACCCATACAGAAGCAACTTCAATCAGCAGCTTTGCCAACACCCAAAATAGCTCCTGCTCCTGCTGCTCCTGCCATACATACCCCGTCAAGTGCTCAAGCATCGTCGGTAGGAGGAAAAAGTGAAATACCAGAGGCCATTTTGAAGCAAATGCCAGCTAATATCCAAGATATTGCCAAACGACGACCCGATTTAGTTCGACAAATGCTGCTTAGCAAACAATTACAAGTACAAGACCAAAAATTTCAACGGGAAGATCAATTGTACACGCACGCAGAAGAGGGCGCGCACGACGGTAATGAGGACTACGGCAACGATGATGAGGACTCAACTGATGAAACTTCCCGTCTTTTACGGCGAAGGAAGGATCATCGTCAATACAAGTCAACTGGACTGTGAGGAAAGAGACATTTTTTTCTCGCTTTAATCGGCTTTATGTTTACGAAGAGATGACACCATCAAGACTGCCGATGGAAAGTATTCGATTGGTTTCTACTACACGTCGTTCGGACAGAAAATAATGCAGAACCGGTATTTTTGAACAGGAAATCTTGGTCAAGTGCAAACACCCACAGTCCCACCAGTCATGTTCGAGTTCCCACCTGTTTTATTTGGTTTAAGAGAAAAGAAAAGAATAATGAGAAACGATACAGTACTGCCACGGCCAATCGCAGCGAATGGTAACGTACCCAAAATATTGCACACTTCCAGAAGCGTCAGATTGGCTAGAGTGGATGGGATTGAGCTGCTCAAACGGTTACTGAAAAGAGTCAGTTCTGACAAAAGTGAAAGGTTCCCAAACTCGCTTGGAATTGTCCTACAGGAAATTCAAGAAAAGATTACAAAAATGAGTGAGCAAGATGCAATATGGGGGCTCAGGGGCGGACGAGAAGACTCACCCAGTCAGCAGATTGCTATCAAGATGAACAATTTTCAATAGTTCAAGCATCCCAAGTCCAGGAATGGTTCCACCTAACTCATTTCCATCCAACTTGAGCGTACTCAGAAACCGAAGGTTCTGTAAACTGTTTGGGATGGACCCTGTCAGACGATTATCGAAGATAGTTAGCTCCAACGCAAATCGGAGATTGCCGAGTGTGCTTGGGATTGTCCTAGCGGCGAAATCAAGAAAAGATGCCAAATATGAGAGATGTCAAATGCAAGAATGACGGAAACACACAAGACCTAATCACTTACCCAGTCAACTGATTCCCTTCGAGTTTGAGAGAAACTACTTCTTCGAGGGTCCCAAGAACTGTTGGCAACGTTCCAGTGATCTCATTTCCATTCAAATGGAGTGTTTGTAGCGATGCTTTAAGATTCTCGATTTCAACGGGAATAGATCCTCCCAGGCGATTGTTGGAGACTGCGTAAGTACTCAACCTTTCCAATGATAGAAGTTCACTAGGGATTGCTGGGCCAGTTAACTCGTTGTTGTCGAGAATGACAGTTTCCAACTTTTGCAGACTGGAGATTTCCGTAGGGATTGTGCCGTTCAATCTGCCATTCACAAGCCCCAGTGTGGTCAAGTTGTGCAGATTCGCGATCTCCATTACTGGGATTGGACCGTTCAAAACGGTGCCATTGATACCGAGATATTCTAGAAAATGGGAAATAAAATGTTGTTAGCATTGCATTGATTCTTTTACAAGTAAAAAGAAGCGGCAGCACATGCGGCCAACACTCACGCAATTGAGGGAAAGATTGCATCAAGCCCAGAAGGTCCGCGAGCATGACATTGGTTGTATAGTAGTCACCATCGATTTCCAATGACAATACTCTGTCGTCGTTGCAGCGCGTAAAGAAGCCTTCGTCAAGTTTTTGCAGACTGCAATGGTTTACCTCTCCTCCAATCGTTTCTGTCGAACCAAGCAGAAGCATTAGAAGTGCCTCAAGCCCAAATCTCTCAAATAGTATACCGCGGTCACCTTTGTTCTCGCACCACTCGATTGCTCTCCCAGAATTAGAAAGGCTATTCGCGACTGCACCTTCTATGGTAGTCTTGTCAAATATAGATTTGGTTCTGTTTGAAAATGCCTCGGTGATACATTTCGATAATGGAACATCCCAAGGAAAAGTCGGGATCGAGGTATCTCCTAATTGAGACAGGCCTTCGTAAAGGGGATTCTCATCAAAGCTGTGAACTACTTTGACCAACAAATTGATGTCTTCAGAACGCAGAAATTGCATGTAGTTCGAATAAGTTACCTCACAGCTGGCACCATACGGTACTTGGAACGACTGGCGATATGTTGGGCATCCATCGTCATAGTCAGTTGATGCGTCTAATATGGCAGGTAGTTCCATGTACGGCTTGTCATCGCATGTGAGAAGGACCTTTTCCACGATGCAATAGAAAGAGTTGAACCAGTCAAAGTCAGCATCAAGCCCCAACAGAGATGTGATTAGTGGTGCTTCAGGGTCGAAGAACCGCCAAACGGATGGCTTCATTTCAATGGTGAACGAAGCTTGATCTGGATCGCGACATTCATCGTACCCAAATGTATTTTGTGGAGTATCGAACCCAAAGACTATTTCAAACCAAGCTGCTCTGGAGGCGTTGCCTCTTTTGCTCATATCAATGCCAAACGGAAAATCAATACTGGAGTCATCGCAATCGACACCTTCACAAGTGTCTGCACAGCAATCGCCGCCATCGTACTCATTTTCTGGCGTATTGAAGTATGTGTTGCAGATTCCGTCTCCCAACGGTTTTTCACGACACAGCTTGCCACTCGCTCCATGTTTGCATTCACATTCACCAGTCGTATCCCTACAAAGTCCTTCATAAAGGCATGGATTTGTCTTGGAGTTGCACGATGTGCATGCAAGATCGACTGGTCGAGTTAAATCCGAGATGCGAAAGTTGAAATCAATCGTAGTGTTCGACTCGTCATTAATATCCCGGGGAAAGTACCATTGCAGTCCAAGTGGTGTGCCCTGATCATTCACTCGGTCGACAGGCTCACTGACCGACAGAATCCACTCATCATTTGCTTCTAGTAGATCCGAATAGAACTCTTCGTTACCGGTAGCATCCAACAGCGCAGTCGTGTTCTCCCATGAACCGAGATTGCTCGAGTTCGCCAAGACCCAACGGCGACCTGTGAATATAACCACTTCAGGGTTTGATCCATTAGCACTGACGTAAATAGGGTGTGACCTCATTGCATCCAAAGCTTCCCCTCCATCTGAAGCACTCAACTGATGCTTCTGAAAGGTGCTTGACTGTCCTTCCAGCTCAAACTCGATAGTCAAACATGTGTCACGAGTGGCGTCCAGAAGATCCCGTGAGCCACATGTATCAGTTTCGTCAATCTTGTAGATCTGCAGGTACTCAAGTGGAAGACCAGTGTTCGTGTACCACTGAGATTCTGCAGTCTCCAGTACATCGAAAGTCTTTGTACTTCCAGATGACGCAATTGGATTGTTGCATGGGTCGTCCCCCTCATGGAAAAACACCCAACTACCATCGTCAAGACCACTGCAGTAGGCTAGCTTTCCTTGCATTGTCGAACGCCCCATCTGCTCATACACAAGACGTTCTGCAATTGTACCGTCGCTTCGAGCAGTGTAGCAACCGTTGAATATCCCAAGAAATGGCAGCGTCTCGTCTCCAAACTCAACGCGAACTGTACTGGTCAGGTACTCTCCATCGTATTGTTGGGCAGCGTAGAATATAAAACTTGATACCATTGCAATGAAGATGAAGAACACGCCCAAGATGTGAGCGTATTTCTTGAACCAAGATGGTGAAAAGGCTACACCAACGACGCCTGTGTCCTTTTCATCTTTGCTAAATTCTGCCTCTGAGATGGTGTTCACGCAATCTCTTGTTGTGATACCAAAGTATCCAATACCGGCCAATCGAAACGCTAGGTTATCAAGATCTGAGATGAATTCAATACCGAGGAAGTTCAAGAGCAGATCAAAGACCGTCTCGGCCTGTATCAGAAGAATGAAACTGGCAAACATACTCAAGAATCCTTGAGCAAAGCGAAGGAAGTATCCTATGCGCCACTTTATCGGTTTCATTGACTGGAATTTGATGTCACCTCTGAAAGCATGCGGCATACCGAGAAAAATACCTTCAATGCCCTCTCGTAGATCTTCTTGCTTGAACACGGCGATGGGGACCGCCACTGCCTGGGCAATGCGTACCGTATATTCCACGTTCCCAGGGAGGTTCAGAATGTTATCTACCGTAGCTCCTCCGATTAGATCTACAATCAGCACTGATAGCAATGTGATCTGGAGAAAAACAACGAATAATGACGCCCAGAATGGCTTTGTGCTCCACTCCCAGCACGCCAGGATCGAGTACATATCCGGAGTCAATTTGAAGGTGCTCCTTTTCGTGTTGTTATTTGTGATTAAAGTAGAATCCACAGGACCATCGCGAGTTATGCTGCTACTTCGCCAAGGGATTAAACTTGCGAGTGGGGAAATCCCAAGCTTGTTCTCTGTCTCCTGAAGTCGTTTCTCCAATTCTTTTGTTTTCGAATCGGATTCTAGTTCTAATCTCTCGATCTTGTCTAGAAGAAGAGTGTACGTCATCTTAGTGTTGACAGATGAAAGCAGTGGATGTTTCGACCAATTTTCGGATGAAATCCTTCGGAGAGGTGCTTGGCGGGCGTTTCCATCAGCCAAACCATCTTCAGCATCAGGAATGATACTGTTCTTTCCATGTATCGTCCCTTGAAAAGCATCCATAGTGACCTCCTTGACTATCAGAGCAATTGTTGGGTCACCCTTCTATTTGGATACCGTTGGCTTTGAATTCGATGATGTCAACTGAACAGCTTTCGCTGAGATGATTCTTCATGTTTTTTATGTATGTGAATCATGACACGAGTATCTTGAAGGATAAATGGACATGTTTTAGTTTTTGTTGCGTGAGAAGGTGGCTTGTGATGACATTAATATTTATGCCCAACAGTACAGATGTAGTCTTCCAACTTAACAGCATGGCTGGTGGGCGCGTGGTGGAAGCACAGGATCGCGTTGATGTCCCGTAGAAACATCGTAATTGAGACATAAAATCGAGGAAGAGAGGCAGGCAATAAATTGTGACCTGCGAATCCCATTCCAACAACCAACAGTATCGTACTAGGTTGGTGAAGGAGCAGACCCCTATTACAGTGCAACGAGAAAACAGCTGTAATACTCTAAGCGGACCTTGTTCGATTTAGGTTTTGAACGGCTTTAGAAAGTCGGTGTAAAGTTTTTCGACAATGGCAGAAGTTGAAAGCAGTGAAATTCCTAGAGAGGTTGGTGCTCCTGCAGATCCGGAAGAGGAGGAACGACTTGAAAAGGCCAGGCGTAAAGCCAAACAAATCGAGGATTTGAAGAACAGGGTCAAGGCAAAAGCTACTGTGAAGAAAAAGTGGTCTTCGCCGCTGGAACAAAACACTGCAAACGAAAGTGCAACTTCGGCACAAGATACGGCCAGCAAAAAGACTGCAAAGAAAGACAAGAAAAAAACGAAAGCCGCTGCAAAAACAGATAAACCTTCCAAATCAAAAGACAAGTCGAAAAAGAAAAGAAGCTCCAAAGCCAAAGAAGATGAACATGACTTGCATGAGTCTACTGATGAATCGGAAGGAGATATCAGTATTCCCTTTGTGATTGAGGTCTTGGCCGATAGTGCACAGGATGAGCAAGCCCTGGCAGCTGATGTAGAAAAGGAATATAAAAAGTATGATAGCATGCACAACTCTCACAACGCTTTGAGAGTCTTGGAGCGAGCTGACAGTGGCAAATCCTTGAAAGAAATGGCCCAGAAAACACGGATTGAGTCCACAAAACCCAAACGAACCCGATCCATCAATGCCCAACAAGCACTGGAACGAGTCAATAGCAGCAAACCATTATCGGCTATGCAACGAGAAGTGAAAACAAGAGAACGAAATCTCCGTAACCAGGCTCGTAAGCGTCCCACTGCAGCAACTGGCAATCCAGAGCGAACGAGTAGTTTGATAACAAACGATACGACGCCAAAGGGCATGCCACAACGGACAAAGTCGTTGGGTTCCCAACGACCATCCAAGGCACCGGCCATTTTCGACAATGAGGCACGCCGGAGGAATGGAGGCGACGATACTTCCTCACGTCGTAGTAAGAGAAGCATTGATGACGACTTGGAAGTATCCAAACGGGGAGCAAGTTCAAGGCGGACTGCACGCAGTATTGATGACGACATGGAAGACTCTAGAAGAGGGTCGAAACACAGTTTTGGCACTGGTGCAGGTAGAAGTTTCGATGATGACTTTGACGACTCCAGACGAGGAGCAAGTTCGCGACGGACTGCACGAAGTATTGAAATCGAGTGGGATGATGATGTTGATGGTAACACCGATACTGAGTCAAGGAAAAAAGCCGCCGAGCGACGGGCTCGGCGAGAATCTCATCGCAACACCGGAAATCAGACCAATGAAGTCTTGCAACGTGCGGATAGTGGCAAATCTTTGAAAGATATTGCCAATGATTCGCGACGTAGGAGAAGTTCGAGCGTGGGATCTCACAAGGGTAGTGCACCTAGATCGCGACGAGCCTCTGTGGCAGCGCCTGAAATAGTAGCAGGAGGTGGAGCGCCGTCGGATTCCATGCGCATGAAGGAAATTGAAGCACAAATCATTGCAGAAGAGAAAGCACTAAAAGAAAGCTCATAATCGTGGAGAGATTGAGGAGAAAGTGCAAATAGACTTCATGATTAGCCGATTTTCCCTTTGAATTTTGAACCTATACATATATATAACATAATATGATGTGTAATGGTCGGTTAGATTACGAAATGGAGTGACATTCTGTTGCTGAAGGGTACCAGTACACATGTACTGACAGAGTGTCTGCTACGGCGCTACTTTAGTTCATTCGACAACAAACACCTTTTCCATCACATCACGTGGACCATACCGCATCATCCTTCATAGCTACCTTTAACTGTAACGCACAGACACAGACAGCCACATCATCATGATAACGATAGCACGGCCAAATATGATGTGTCACAAGATTCATCAATTCTGCACTGTTTCGTTTCATACCACACGTCGTTGCCTACTATCTTCCAAGCCACCAATTCCTGATCGCATAGTTTCAATTGAAGCGAATCAAGATCTTCTGAACAAGATACCTATGGAAGATATTCGCAACTTTTGTTTTATTGCCCATGTGGACCATGGAAAGAGCAGTCTGAGTTCTCGAATATTGGAAATTACGGGTAACATGGGAAGAGAGAATCAAATCGCAGCCTTGCAAACGGCGAAAGGGGAGGATGATAATAATTCTTTTAACACCGACAATGGCCAATCACAAGAAGCTTCATCAAAAATATCCAAACAGAGAGAACAAATATCTTTGCTGTACGATACATTGCTACATGTCATGTCACTTTTGGCCTCTGAGATTGCGACTAAACCATCGTTCTATCCTATTCCTTTCCATTTCAATGATTGATGCATTCAACACCACAGTGATACCTTATCAGTTGAACAGGAACGAGGGATCACTGTCAAGGCCAGCACCGCTAGTCTGCTATATCCACATCCATCTGCAGTCGGAGAAGAGGGTGTCTTGTTGCTTAATATGATTGACACTCCTGGACACGTGGACTTTGGCCGGGAAGTCGCTCGATCCTTGTCGTTTGTGCAAGGGGCCATCTTACTGTTGGATGCCACTCAAGGCATTCAAGCCCAAACTTGGACTGTTCACGAAAGAGCCAAATCGATGGAGAATCCACCCGAATTGATTCTAGCCATGACCAAGATTGATTTGGAAGCGGCTCGCCCTATCGATGTTGCCTTGACAGTATCGGAATGGTTAAATCATGATGATCCGGACTCCATCATCCCGACCAGTGCCCGGAGTCGCATTGGAATTGTGGAGCTATTGGATGCCGTATGCACTCGGGTTCCACCACCAAAACCGCTGGCCGACGACGATGGATCCATCATGAGAGCACAGGTTGTGGATTCGTGGTATGACGAACGAGGTGTGAATTGCATTGTTCAAATCTTGTCGGGAAAGTTGGAAGAAGGAGATCGGCTATCGATTGTTGCGGCGGATAGCACGGACAAGCAAAGACAATCATATTCCATACAAGAAGTGGGCTTAGTACTTCCCAAATCAATACGAACATCGATTCTTCAGCGAGGTCAAATGGGGTATGTCCGATTTGGATTGAAGGATCCAAGACAGGCAGATCCTGGAACTATTCTGATCGATAGCAAAAACGAAGGAAAGGAGGTCATTATTCCCAACCGACAAAACATGGATTCTACCAAATCAGTTCTCTATGCTTCCGTTCACCCTGAGGAAGAAGATGGTTTTGAAGATTTGTGCGAGGCTGTCGAACGACTGGCTCTCAATGACAAGGGACTAGAAGTATCGAAGACAGCCGATATGGGCTCCAACAGTTCCGAAAGTGGAGGTCCTTTTCTTGGGCCTGGTCTGCGAGTAGGATTCCAAGGTCTCCTTCATGTGGAAGTCTTTCGACAACGGCTTACGGATGAATTTGGCATTGATGCAGTAGTCACTCCACCAAAGGTGCCTTACCATTTGACCTTCCTACCCACCAAATCCAACAACATCACAGAGCCTTATACCGAAGTGATAGAAGATCTCGCCGAGTGGCCAGCATACGGAACCAAATTCAAGGTGGAGGAACCGATGGTTGGCGTAAGGATAATGGCACCTGTGGAATATACTGGGGCAGTTATGGAGGTAATAACAAAGAAAAGAGGTTTGAACCTAGAAAGCACCCCTCTCGACGAAGACACTTGGATTTTTGAAGCACAAATGCCGTGGGCAGAAGTTGTTGTCAATTTTCACGATATGCTCAAGAATGTGACAGCAGGTTACGGAAGTCTCGATACTTTTGAAGGAAATCCATCGCTGATGGAAGCGAAACTTTCCAAAGTTGATATTCAGTTGAACGGGGAATCGGTTGGTCCATTGTCATTTGTTTCCCACACTCCCAACGCACAAAGCGAAGCTCGGATTGTTTGCAAAAAGTTGCAGGAAGTTCTTCCGAGACAACAGTTTGTGGTGGTTATCCAAGCAAAAGCAGATGGCAAAATCATTGCAAGTGAACGAATCCGGGCTTACCGAAAAGATGTGTTGACAAAATCTGGCAAAATGGTTGGTGGAGGTGACATCTCTCGAAAGAAGAAGCTCTTGGAGAAACAAAAGAAGGGAAAGCAACGGGCTCAGAAGGGTGGAAAAGTCACCCTGAGTCAGGCTGCTTTCAATAGTGTAATCTCTCGCTAATGATACTTCAAATATAGACAAACGATACTCGTACTGCAGTCGTACTCGTACCAGTAGGACTGGTGTCTCCAAAGATTCAAGATAGGTACCTGGTACTGTAGGGCACAATCATTGGAGATCGAACTCGCGCGACAGATGCGCGGTTTCAAATCTGATGGAAAACCGACAGTTTATTTTGCATAAAAACGATTTTGATTCATCGACATTGTTGAACGATATCCAGCGTCACCAATCTGCTGGTCTTCACTACAGGAGTCATGTCGAGCACAACGCAAAACAATGGACTTGGAAAGGACTACAATTTGAGTCAAATCGTTGCTCTTGGCTTCACCTATCGGCATATTTTGGATGCATGCCAGTGGTTCCCGGCTTTGACGATGATGGCTCCGATAGGTCTGAAAGTGGTCTTCTTCCTTGCTGATGCACTGACAAAGAAGCATTCATTCCTTACGGTGGTGTTGACTGTATGCGCGACCATTTTGTTTCGGCAAATGACGAGATCATTTGCTCCATCGGCCAAGCAAGCCGACGAAGATTTGGCTCGCTACAAGCGCCGCATCCCCATCGGCGCATTCATTCTTATGACCTTGATTGTTCGATTCGTCGTCGTCCGATTTGAAGAGTTTTCTGGATGGACGAAGCTTTTGACTTGGTCACCGAGTTTTTCATTCGGTGTAGCGGTTCAACTTGCTCTTGGAATGTTTTTCCTCAGCATATCAGTCATTTTCCAGTACATTGGCCCTGCATCAGTCGGTGAGTTCCCTCATGCTTTTTGAAAATCAAGATTCTATTTACAATCTAATCTCAACCGTTTTGTGTTTAGTGCGCTGTTCGTCTTCTCCACTCTTGGAGAATCCTGTATCTGGCTGGATCAAGACTGCAGGAGCAAATCTGCAACACTCCCCCGCAGCATTCGCGGACTTCATTTCGAAACCGAGCGAAATCAATGCCTCGTCTACTCGGTGGTCAAGTGCTGCTAATGCTCGTCGGCTACAGCGACCAAAACTTAGGACAACAGCTCAGCAATTGCTAGCGTCTATCATCATTGGTGCAATGGTGGCATACACATGTGCAGTGCCGATCTTTTCCTCTTGGTTTCCGTCTGGGTCACCCGGCACAATAGTGGCTTCTTGCATATTTGCTGTTGCCATCAATCTCTTGAGTCGCCTGGATGGAGTCTCGCACGAGATTAGTCCCTACCGTCATCGATTCGGTGCTCGGTCAGATAGAGGACTCTTTGGCGAGTTGTCCTACTCCAACCCCTCGTTCATCATTATCGCTTGCGTCGTGGTGCCCATTCTTTCTCTCTTGTCATCGTATCTTGGTTCTCGGGAGCTAAATTCAGGTTCCTTGGCCTCATTCATGGCGTGTCCTATTACTACGTGGCTGATAATCTTCTATTTGAACTTTGTTGACGAGGAATTGCGAAAGGCATTGTGTGCTACGCCGGTCAACATGAAGAGAACAGTCGACGAAATTTCGGGAGAAGAAAGTATGCAAACGTACTTGGACGTGACCATGTGCAGCATCTTGCACTCTGACTTGGCTCTTGTGGAGCAGCTATCTGCTATTGGAAGGGTGCGACTGCTCAGTTTGGATCGTGAAGAACGAGTGCTGAACGAAGATGCAATGAAAAGTATGGCAAACAATCTTCTTCAGAAGACTTCTGGTGATGAGAATGGGGCACACCTCGAGGAAGATATCTTTCGACTATCGATTTTGTCATCACTTGGTGGATCAGGGAAGGGTGCACCACCTTTTGATGACGCTGGAACACACCATTTACAGAATATCAGATTGTGGGTTCCGGCACCGAAAGCGGACAAAGATGGGGCGTCTCGCAATGAAATTTCTCCAGTTCCCTTGGTTCGAGCACTTTGTGCTTTGGGAGGCGGGTTTGGAGAAGCCTTGGTCATGTGCTCTGCGCAACCTACGAGCTCGCCTGTCTTTCCTTGGTCAGTGCCACCGGGGGCTCTGGTGCAGTCAGAATATGCCATCCGTGCAGCCGCTCGCTGCATTGTTTGCAGCCTTGTGAACTCTTCCCGGTGCCGGACAGATTGGAGAAGCTCTCATCTGTCCATGATGATCCCAGTCTTTCTGAATTCTGCTTCTCGGCTACAGACCGGGACTGTCCGATACGCAGAGAGAAAGCGGGCTTTCAAGCAAGCTATCGCCACAAAGCAAAAGCTCCAGTCGAAAGCTCTTTCGATAGGTCTAGAAATTTCGTTCCATCCAGATCAAGACCGTCACCTTCTGCAGATGGAAAGTCCCGAATTGCTTCCAGTCTACAACGCGTGCGACAGTTCCGCAACAATGATTCTAGAACAGCTGAACTCGTTGGATGGCGGCAGCAAAGACCATGGGTTCAGACTTGAGGGGGTAACGAGACGATGGGTGCAGCATCTTGCTGATATCATTGGATCGATGACGAACCAATCGACCAATGCCGTTATGCCTTCTGCATACTAAAGAGAACTAAGGATTTGAATTTGTACTGAATCAAAATTGTAATTGTTATTGCAATTTATTACTCCATTCGGAGAGTAATAGAATAGATGATCAATGATATGAGCATGGCACTGGCAAAGGTGAGAATTGCATATGCATGGGCTCGTACAACGCTTGGGTTTGCTTCCGCCAGTGATACAATTTCCTTGACCATGGAGGAGACTGTGGAAAGGCTGCCCCCAAAACCCGTTGCCACTGCAAAGAGTACCGCATTTGACCATGGATCCATATCATAAGCTGCTTTTCCCTCTAGTACTAGTTTTCTCCGTCTATCCAGTATTGCGGTACAAGCAATCGAACAAACTGCACCCACAACATTGGCCGTCCAGGTACCGAATGGGAACCAATCAAACGATTTGTTGCAAATCTTGCGATGGTTGGAATTGTTGAAACGAGACAATTTCCATCGCGTCAGGGCACCCAATGGCGCCAAGGGTATTATCAATATCATGCTTTGGTAAAATGCAACGTCATAACTCACAAATCCCACCACGAATAGTGCCAGGACCACCAGACCTGTCACCAAAAAGAGGAACTTCCATGGATGATGATTGTCGCAATAACATTTGGATGGTTTGGCATGCTGCTCATCGGATGCAACTTCTTCTCCACCACCAGTACCAGTACCATCATTATGATTATGATCATTTTGATTGGAAGAGTCGTTTGTTCGATCTTCTTTCCAAGTATGAAGTAATACCGCCACTTGTTTTCCATAGGAAAAGGCCGAAATGGGCAGCATGAATCCAACAAGGTATCCAAAAAGTGCCACCACAATCTGTGATCCCAATTCCGTCATTGTTCCATCCTGTGTATGTATGTGGTGGAATGGAATGAATGTCACTTAGCACAATAAGAAGAAGAAGAAGAAGAATATGCACACTCGACATGAAGGATACGGATCAATATCCAACTCCATAACTTATCGCTTACCATCATGACTACCATTTGTGTATTCCAACTTGCAAAGGTCGTGAGACTCCCACAGAATCCTGTCGATATCATTAAATGAAAAAGATCATCTTGTTGCAGAATGTGATTATTGGGCAGCCACGGAATTCGTATGCCAGACGAGCTAGAAACAAGCCCCATGACGAAACTTCCCAAAAGGTTGGCCGGCAAGTCCCGAAACAAGGCGCCTCCGGTTTGAAGACTCCGACCATTGGATGTGACGCAAATGTGCTTGGAGAGCGGCGTCAAAAAGTCTTGCGGTGCTTCCATAAAGTCTTCGCAGTCACCACCCAGCAATCGTCCAAGGTAGACTCGCAAGGTGGCACCCACAATGGCAGCGGCCGACAAATAAATAATGTGGATCAATGTCGATTGAGGCTTTTTGGTTTTGCTGTTGTTGTTGTTTACAACTGCTTCTTGAGAGTTACCAGCATCTTGTGACTCGTCTAGAGCATGATGATTGGGATTTGTTTCGATTGGAAAGGAGCCAGTGGGACTGAGTGGCTTGTTGCTGTTCATGGTGGTGATGATAGGGTGATTCTATTATAAACATCACGAATATTATGATGATCGATGAGGATGCGTTGTTGAAAACTTTTCCAGTCGATGGAGTCGTAGTCGAAGAAGTCATTCAATGCCTCGCCCTTCAAAATAAAATAAAATATGGCGCGACACAATAACCGTCGTCATCATCATCATCGTCATCTTTCTTTCTATGCCTTGTCCGTAGTGAATCATCTACAGCTCTCTCCATGTCCAATAGTCAGAGGCAACAACAGCAACAACAGCAACAGCAATTACCTTCTCCTCCAGAGCTATCGTCGACACAAAAATTGGATGTCAAGCGGTTGTGGGAAATCCAAACCCAAGACGTCCACGACGATGGCAATTTGAACAAACCAACTTCGTTTGCGGCTTCCGATTCCAAACCAACCTTGAGCTGTGGACAGTCCTGTCATATGATTACCCGTTTGCATGCCTTCTTTTACGAATTTTTGAACCAAGTGTGTCAACAAAATGGTGGCGTGACGGTGGAGCAAGGTTCTTCGGCTGTGGTGGCGGTAGAAGACGAAGGAGTCACGTTGCAAGGCAACCACCCGGCCTTTTTGAAACCCATACCAGAGAGTTGTTTGGAACCATTTGCCCAATTGTTTCTAGTCAAGGAAAAAAATACAACAACAACTGCAGCGGCTGCTCGAAGAAATGACGAAAACTCGATGCATTATGCCAATAATAATAATAGTAATGATTCCAATCACAGTGCGGAAGGGAAAATGATCATTCGACCACGAGGAGGCCGCCGGGTGTTGGCCATTCAATACGATGAGTTTCTGGACGAATTGAATTACTACGAATTTCGAGGCAATGCCTCCAAGGAATTTCTCATGGCGAATTCTTATGGTGCCTTTCTCTATCATTTTCCAATCCAAGCAATACCCGTCATGAATGTCAGCATGGCATTGGCGGTTGCTTCGTTATGGCGAGCCAATATCCCAACTGCTGCTGCTGCTGCTTCTACTACTAATTCCAAACTCATGGCACGCCTCCAACGATTTTTGGAAACTTGCCAATTGACCGTCCGCTTGATTCATGTGACGCCCCTCGTGCCCATGGCCGATGTCAAGACGGGGATCGTCCGAAAATTCATTGCCGTCAAGGGACATGTCATCAAGGCCCGGCCCAAACGTCTACGGGTGGCCACTGCCGACTTTTGCTGTACCAAATGTTTCGCCACCGTGACCCACGAATTTGATCAAGGCCGGTATTCCTTACCAACCAAGTGTCCGACTGATAAATGCAAAAGCCGATCCTTCAAGATCGTCAAACAAACGGCCAAGTACATTAATATTCAAGAATTGCGATTGCAAGAAGCGCAGGAGGAATCTACGGCCCATGCGGGTCGGACGCCCCGGCAATTGCAAGTCGAGCTCAAGCATGATTTGATTGATTCGTGTCGGCCAGGAGACATTGTCTCGTTGGCTTGTCATGTGGATGCGGTCAATTCGGCAGTGGCAGCGGGCAAGACGGGGAAACGGGCCATGGAAACGAGTACCTACAAACTTTACTTGCAGGGGCATTCCATTACCACCCTTTCGGAAAGCAATAGCCAACGGGGAGATGGGAAACAGAAAAAGACGGTGTATACCCAACGGCAACTCCAAAGCATTGCTCAATTGTGTCATGCGGATCATCGATGTCTCAGTTTGGTGGAAAGGAGGGCCTTTCCATTTGATTTGCTAGTGAGATCCGTGTGTCCTTCCATCATTGGTCACCATGCTGTCAAGGCTGGAATATTGCTGTGTCTGTTGGGAGGGACTCCGCCAGCGACCAATGGTGCTGCCATGGACAAGGGCTCTTCCATTCGAAGCAATTCTCACATTTTAGTGGTCGGAGATCCAGGTATGGGGAAGAGTCAAATGCTGAATGCCGCTACCCAACTCGCTGCTCGGAGTGTCTACGTCGGTGGCAATACTGCCTCTACCACCGGTCTAACAGTGACTCTTACCAAAGAGGAAGGAGGCGAAACTGGTATTGAAGCAGGGGCACTCGTTTTGGCTGATCAAGGAGTGGCATGCATTGATGAATTAGACAAGTGTAGACATCTGGATGGACTCCTGGAAGCCATGGAACAGCAACAGGTTTCCATTGCCAAAGCTGGAGTGGTCGCATCGTTACCGGCTCGCTGTAGTGTTATTGCTGCTGCCAATCCAAAGCACGGTAGCTATAACATGAGCAAGACAGTGGCGGAGAATCTCAACATGGCCCGACCAATTCTTTCTCGGTTTGATTTGGTATTCATTCTCCGAGATCGCGCCAACAAGGAGCAGGATCGATTGGTTTCTACCAACATTATGAACTTGTATCGAAACCGAAGTGCCGACACGACAATGCCCGTTCCAAACGCACCTGCGGCGCAGGCGCAAATGGAGACTGGAAGTGGCCCCTCGACGGGTGGAAGAGTCTCTTTGGAAGAGCGTCTTGCCTGGGTCGCTTCGTTCAACGATGCATTGCCGGCTGCTTTAGTACGAGATTACATTGCCTATGCTCGCGAATATTGCCGTCCCAAATTGACAAGAGAAGCCGCAGAAATACTAAAGGACTACTACATGAACCTGAGGTAAGCACATGCTTGTGTACCTAGTACAGTGGTCGATCACTCTGATCATGAATCCATCTCACCCACTTGATTGCTCTCTGCTGTCCAGGTACCCTGAGGACGGTAGGCGGAGACAAGATACTGTCCCAATCACGACGCGGCAGTTGGAAGCCTTGATTCGTTTGTCCCAAGCCCGAGCAAAAGCCTGTTTGCGGGATTTTGTAATCAAAGAGGATGCCTTGGATGTGGTGGAGTTGCTCCGCCACTCAGTCGAGCAGGTCCATACAGACGAATGTGGGATCATGGACCGTACGCGGGGTGGTGCTGCTGGGCAAAGCAATCGCAAGATGAGAAAGATGTTCCACCGAGAGGTTTGCAATGTGATTGGGATTGGTGCCGTATGCAGTATGGATGATTTACGAAGGGTAGCCGACCGAGTCCAATGTCCCCTGAGCGATTTCCATACTATGCTTGAAGATATGAGAGAAAGTGGCACGCTGATTCGGCAATCAGATGGTAGATACAAGGTCGTGTCATAGCCCTGAAGAACTCTTTGGGAGACTACAAGCAAGTGGACTCAAGCCTTGTTTTTCACACGTGAGAACGGTACCAACTGGGATGCAAGCCGCTTCATACACTGGCTCTTGATGACAATGCATCGTGGTTCCAACGCTTTGGAGATTGCATCCAGCAATGCGAGACTTTCCAACAGTCCATGCGCTCCACTGAGGCCCCCGATATCAGCATAGACGACATCATAACCCATCATTGATGTAGGGTCGTTCAGCATGGAACCATGTTTGGCTTTTATTTTCAATAGATCTAGTGTATTCCACGCATTCATAACCTCGAAAACCGGGCCATCGTATTTCATTTTGGCACTAGCAATGATCTTCTCCCCTATATCAACTCCTGCACAAAATCCAGAACTATTATCACCAGTGATGGGATTGCTCTTCACCACCTCGTACAGCAATGCGGTTGTCGTTCCAAAATGGCAGCCGACTTCCAGCACATCATCGCCTCCACTCACAACAAAAGGAATCGTTTTGCGATAATCGTTCACTCCAACGCATGGGATAATGATCGGCTCTGTTGACCGGCAAAGGTTGGCGGGTAGTGTGGTTGTTCCATCCATCAATCTTTGTGAGTGAGTGATTCGTCGAGCAAGACTGTAGAGTTCTTTCGACTTGACAAGGATTGCTCTAGGAGATACATTTTGACTCGCTAAGAACTCTGTCGCAATCGAGAGCGTCGTCAGATAGAGATCGTTCCCAATCATTGACCCGATATCAAGTATTATGACGTCAAAGTGATTATCTCCCTTGTAGAGATTCCTCCATTGATCAAACTGTTCCAGCTCTTGGTAGTCTACCCGATCTCTAAATGTGTCTTGCTCGTCTTCTTTTGACTCATTCTCGATATTCGAAGGGCGATTCGAATCATCGCCAAGAAACGGTTTTGAATTGCGCTGGGTGGATCTACCACTTGTTGCCTCCTTTCGTTGTACATCCACCAAGATTGCTTTTCCACCTGGTCCAATTGTTCGACAGAGATGGGTCGAGGTGTCTGAAAGCTGAGCACCAAGTTCCAAAACAACATCATTGGGTCGTAGGAACAAAGAAATGGCTGCTTGTACCTCGCCAGTGGATTGACATGCCACAATCGGTGGTACTGGACTTTTCTTGGCCGAAAATGACAAAACTCGGCAAATCTGGATCACCAGCAATGAAAGAAGTAGCGCTGCCATGAGTTTTCCCATTTTCCCATGCCGAGTCAGTAGCTCTTTGTTGTTTCAATAAAAAAGTATCGTGTGGATCTTTTATAAAATATTACGTACAGTAAGCATGTCGTGATTTTTGGATTTGAAGGGTCCAAACGGCGGACGGACGAGGAGGACTCAAATCCGACCATATACAGTATATTTCAGATTTCATAGTCACTTTTCACTTGTTCTATATTATGGCACGTTTCAACCAACAATTTCATTATAAACTCAAACATGCCCTTCCATTAACAGCAGTCAGTTGTTTCAGTGGTACACTGGGACATCTGGCTGCCGATGAGCCACCACTTCGACACCCACCAGAGTTCGGAAAATTGAACTACTCGGATTTAGCGACCAAATCTAACATCCTTAGTCCGAAGCAAAACTCGACACTCATCTTTTTGCATTTTCAACATGTTTCTTTGATTTCTTATTGTTTCCCTATATAGCCATCTTATAATATATCTATATTCCTGCCTGGACGATTGATTGATTGATTGATTCCAACCTCGCTCCTTTATCAATTCCCTCGTGACGTCAAGGTCAGTTTCAAATCCTCCGCAAAAGTCTCGGTAAATCGAGATACGACAGTCATCTTGGGACAATCCTTGGCGGGAGTAATCCGAAAGTTGTGCAGCAGGTGCACCATGACAGTCACCATCTCGACATGAGCATACATTTTCCCAGGACAGACACGGAGTCCATGACCAAAGGCAAGAAAACCAGCTTCTCGATTGGACGGAACAATGAGCTTGGGTCTGAAACCAATGATACAAGTAGGGGATACATCTTCCTTCTTTTCTTCTTGAGGCTCGGTGGTCAACCACCGACGTGCGCAAAACTCTTGGGGAGGCTCCCCATTGGGACCAAAGGGGACTTCACTTTTGGTAGTTTTTTTATTGTGGGGATAGGAAGGACCGACAGTCACAAGAACATCTCCCGGTTCGACCGTCTTTCCAAGAAATTCCATGCTTTCAACCGGCTCAAAAAAGAGCAAGGGGCCTGGGCCCTTGAGGCGAAGCATTTCAAACAGAAAGGATCGAAGTCGAGGGAAGCATTCGAGGGCATCTTCCATGGTCAAATCGTCAAGTGATCTCTTGCCGCTGCCATTTGTATACTCGATAACTTCTTGATACAATTCATCTTGCAAGGCCAGGTCGTTGGCCAGCTCCCAGAGTGAAAAGCTGACGGTATTCGACGCCGTATCGGTAGCCGCAACGAAAACTGTGAGGAGGTTGCCTACAATTTGTTCATCGTTGAGTTTCACCTTTTCTCCTTCCGAAATGTCAATGATCTTTTCCACAAAGGTCTGATTCTTAGCATTGTCGATGCTCGTGTCATCATTGGCCTTGCGCTTGCGGTATTCTTGTACTTTCGACATGAGTGTGGCGACAATGCGTTGGTTGCCCTCGCGAAAGCCATCCAAGTACGGTCCAATGATGGGAATCTTCCAGTAGGGAATAGGAACAAGAGTTCTCAAAAAGGTGATGCGAAATAGTTCTTCAACGTCTTTCGCCAGTTGATTTTCGGGATGATGGATGGTATTGATGTCCAAACCAAGAATCGACAAGGCAACAATGTCCAGAGCAAAGGCTGTCATGTCAAGATTGGCGGCTGGTATATCCACCTTTTGTGCTGCAGCCTTGGTCCACTTTTGTACTAACCTCTTTGCCACCAATTGGATGGAAGGGAAGAAATCGCGGACATGATTTTGATTCAGGGCAGGCCCCACAATGCGTCGTTCCCGACGCCACTGATCTCCGTTGGACGAAAAGATCCCATCTCCATTGAGACTGTCAATGGAACGACTCAAGATTTTGGCTCGAATCATTTTGAAGGGACGTAGTTTCAAACAGGCCATGACTGACTCGGTAGAACAGAGAACAATCCAGCGCTTCCCCAAGAGGTTGAATTCATAGATACCCTCTTGTTGGCCAACCCCAGCAATCCATTCCTGAATGACAGAGTAGAATTTGTCCGAGTCCGCAAGGGCCAAGGCGTGTCCAATCAATGGGAGTTTGCCAGGAGCCATGGGAAAATGGTCGCGTCGGCGGCGTTGGCTGGCAACAAGAAGGAACATGACAGATACGGCCAAGATGGCAACATGACCGCATGTGAGGTCCATCATTGTGATGATGACGTTGGATAACAGTGGCGGCGACATTGTTGTTCCGTATTATGAACTCTTTCTCAAGACACAAAGAGCTTTTTCCAACGAGTGTCGAGGAACCAAAGCGTTTCTGAAAATAATGAGATCATGCTGGAAATATCAGTCAGTGCAAAACCTTCTCACAACACCAAATATCCTCTCTATGAGTATAGCGGTGCAAAACCTTCTCGAAACAAAGTGGGAAATGAAATTGAGTCATATACGTTCGGGGACGATAACCCCCCGAATAAAAACTAGTTCCCCCGTTGCATGCTGGATGCACGCACGAACTCTCCGCCGGTCGACCTCAGACCACCAGACACACAATGACGAAAAAAACAGCTGGCAAAAAGATGAGGCGAAGACTATGACAAAGAACAATACCGCATATACCATTTTTAGTATTCTTCTAGCACCTACCGGTATTGCATCATCAGATAGAAAAGAATGACGCACAGCAAGAAACAAGAAGCACTCTTGGATAGATTGGAGAATGCCTCAAAATCTCCTCGTGAACTCGCTCTCCTTCGAATCGGCACGTTGGACGATGGCCCCCATGAAACCGAGGAAAAGGGATACCTTGATAATGCTGACGATTCTCCCATTGTCGGGACTGCTGAGGAACTCGTGAATATTCTTCAATGTACGCTGAAAGGGTCACCCACTGAGCTGCTGAATCTCTTGACTATCATCCAGAATATTTCCAAGGTGGATGAAACATTGATGGAAGAATTGTATTTTTCAGAAGGCTTCAGTGCCGCCATTTCCGAGCTCGATGCTACCATCGACTCGAGAACCACAACAATGAATAAGGAACAACAGCAAGAAGAAGACAACGATGCTTCCATTTGGAAATCGCTGCGAGAGGCAACAACAGAAATTCAATCATCCATGTCAAAACAACTGGAAGAATCGACGAGTACCAGATCGAAACCATTTACGCGGTCCGAGTTGGAAAGTCGACTCCCACTGACCTTTACTATTCCACAAAAGGATGATCATTTGAAGATTATGGTGCATCAAGTTACCAACGAAGAAGAAACTGATTCCCACGACACTGGGTTTGTGATGTGGCCAGCATCGTTATTACTGGCTCGTCACGTGGCAGAGAACCCATCGCTCATTTTGGACCATGTGGTTGCTGCTGCTGATGATAATACTAGCCAAAAAGGTGAATCTCTAGACATTCTAGAGCTTGGTGCAGGTTGTGGTTTGGTGGGCCTCACAGCTGCAGCTGTGCTGAAGCAGTACAGGGAAGAAAGTAAGGATGCTGCTGATGACGATGAAGACCAGCACCCAAATGTAATATTGACGGATTACTGCCCAGAGGTGCAGCAAAACATTGAACGAAATCTTGACTTGAATGGCCTTTCCGATTCCGGGAAGGTCTCTGGTTTGGACTTTTTTGATCAGCCAGGAAACGAGGATAGCAAGTACGACGAGTCGGTTCCCCATTGGATCGATATGGACGGAAAGAAACGACCACAAGTGGGGCTCATTCTGGGAGCCGATATCATTTGCTACTCCAATGACGCAAACAACGTGGCCAATACCATTAGCTCGGCTCTTGTTCCGGGGGGCAAGGCAATGGTCATGGCAGCGGGAGATAACCGCAGGTTTGGCCTTGCACAATTCCCTGATGCTTGCCGTGATGTTGGATTGGATGTCAACATGGAGACCATCAAGGC